ATTATCAAACCACTCAGGGTACTGGTATTGTGGTATAGCGGTTCAACCAATAGTTCATTAATTAAATCACATACCGATTAAATCGATATGATTATATAACTGATATGATTGTTATACTGTATCGATATTGGGATCGATTTATCAGATGAACAGGTCGGTATAAATCGGTTTTACAACACTGTGTAAATGTAGTTTAAAAGGCAAATATTTTCTCAAAAGAAATTAATATGGAACAAATTAAAAAATAAATACTAATCTTGGGCCTTGAATAACATGAAGGTAATAAAAATTGACCCACCATTTTAGTTCACACATTATCCTCTTAATTCATATGTCTGAAACAACAACATGCATGAGTCACAGATTTCATTCTCTCTCAAACTGATAAGAAACCAAACACTTTAGTCTTATGTGGTCTCTTAGGATCCACTCACTTAACTCCAACTTCTTTTGTTCTTTCATCAACACTTTAATATATGTGACCCATAAAAATACACCCTTTGTTTTCATTATATTTTTCATTGTTTCTTCTTTTCTACCATATCTTACAACTCAACTTCATTTTTTCCACTTTGATTCTGCTTAAAGGGAATTTCACTTCATTTCCCATCTGGGTTTTGTGGGTTTGTATTGGAACTTGATTATTTTCTATCTAACTTGTTACAATGATGTCATTGACAAGTAAAAGCATTGCTTTTGTTGGGAAAAACTTGATTTTTGGTGGTTGTTGTTGTAATGCTTCTTTTGATCGTTGCATAGTGAGGAATTATGCAAAGGTGAATGGAGGTAGTAAAATTGTTTGCTGCAAGAGGAGGAGCACTCAGTGTGGTGTTTCTTCTGTTATGAAGATTGTAGAACCAACATTGAATGGTATGTATGAGATTTTTTCAATGAAATTTTGTTGTAAAGTTGTTTCATATTGCTAGCTTAATATAAATGCTATTGATGCTCCAAATTGTATATTCAAAATCTATATTAACCAATCATGATTTTAGATTATGTTACAAATTTATGTTTAGTCCTTGAGGAGTATCAATAACAGTGCCCTAGTTTAATTGAATAAATATTGGTGTTGGTTATTGAAGTGGAAGTACTTGCTAACAGTGATTTATGGCCGTAATATTGCTGTTGTGGTAACCACCACAACGGCATCACACCTAATTGTGGTATGACTTCGAATCACAATGATGCGGCCGCATCGGGCCATAACACAACAACATTGGACCACATTGGACCGCATCTGGCCGCATCGGAGTTTTAATCACAAAATAATTTACCCGACAACAACCACAATCCACATCGCAACGGCTGCAATGATTGCAATCACAGTAACCGCAACTTAAAACACTGCTTGGTAGTAAAAATTTGGTTTGTTTTTTTGCATAGGTGGAACTCAAGCAATTCAAGGCCTTAATGGATTGGACTTGAAGAATTACTCTGACGCCCCTATTTCCCCAGCTCAGTTGTTTGATGTGGTTGCTGATGATCTGAAAACACTCAATAAAAACCTTCAGTCGGTATGTGACGATTTTCGTGGATTCATGCGTGTGCTGTTATTTTTGCTAACTGCTGAGATTGAGTTATAAATGCTCCTTTGCCATTTGGTTAAGTGTTGTGTTCTTTCATAATGACTGATATTGCTTTGACCCAGACCAGAAAAATGTGAACCTTCTAATAGAATGAAACATGGGGTACATAATTATTTGAAATATATCTTTATTCTGTGATTCAACCCAACTCATCACATTCTATGCTTATTCTTGTTATTAACTTTTTATTGAATTTCTTATTTTTGCTTTGTTAGGCAATATCATGATTCTCTCTCTCTTGATTCTAGTTCTCAAATTATTGTGTTTCAGGATTAACATTATTAAAGTTAAGTTTTTTGAATGAAATTGGATATAATTTTGAGTGTCTTGTAATTTGTTTTTACAGTGAATGAAGTTACAGACCAGTTGTTTATTTGTATCTTTTGTAAGAAAGTTGATTGATACAATTGGTACCACTGTCAAGTCCTGTTCATTCTTTGTGCCTGCTGAACCTACTTGCCTCGTAGTTTCTTGTACTTCGTGAACACTGAGTTCAGTGGTTTAATCTGCAGACCGCATATTCTCACTATTGTGGTTGCGGTCACAATATTGTGGTTGCGGTGACCGTTGCAACTGCATCACACCATAATTGCAGTGTGGCACTGAATCACAACGATGTGGTTGCATTGGGCCCATCCGACTCAAAAGTATTATTTAATCACGAAATATTTCACACCGCAATAACCGTAGTCGCAGTAACTATAATTGCGACCATAACCGCAATTTAAAACACTGACTGAGGTTAAGACTTTTAATGTATCTGATGAAGATGCTCTGATAGATTGTAGGTGCAGAGAATCCAGTTTTAATGTCGGCAGCTGAGCAGATATTTAGTGCTGGTGGGAAGAGGATGAGACCGGCTCTCGTGTTCTTGGTGTCAAGGGCGACAGCAGAGCTACTTGGCTTGAAGTAAGTATAGAATAGTCTTCAGATTCACTTCTCACATGCATGCACGCGAAAGCTCTTTGCCTATTCTGAAAATTCCTTGCTTATGAGTTCTGACAGTAGAAGTTGAATGCCTTTTTTCCTTTCCAAATGTGTTACTCCAGCGAACTTACTGTAAAGCATCGGCGATTAGCAGAGATAATTGAAATGATTCATACTGCAAGTTTGATACACGATGATGTATTAGATGAGAGTGACCTACGGAGAGGTAAGCTTCTGACCATTACTTTGGAATACCCATTTAATTTTATTGATATCACTTTAGATTTATGATTAAATGTGTTGTTTGAAAAGGTGATTACTATGAAGTAATTTTTCTTAGAAAGTGAGGTTGTTCTGAAGTTAAGATGGGATAACCATAAAAAGGGCGGCCCAATGCACGAGGCTCTCACTTGGTGGGGTATGGGCATGGTAAATGTACGCAGTCTTACCCCTGCAAGCGGAGAGGCTGTTTCCAGGATTTGAACTGTGACCTCATGGTCACTAAGCAATAATCTTACCATTGCGCCAAGCTCACCCTCTTAAGCTGGGATAACCATGTTACAATGATGGTTAGGTATTGTATTATGCTTGATATTTTCTTTAGGAAAGTCTTCGATCTGGTCCACAGCTTTGTTATTCTCTGATGATTTCATTACAGATTGATAAGAGCACGTATGCATTTGTCTCCGAAAAGTATCTCTTGAAAGGGGAGACAAAGTTGAAGAGAAAATAAACAATAGAACCATGCTAGATCTGATACTGATACCGTTAGAAGCTTCTTCAGTTTTTGACGTCTTGGAGCGGACTTGCTAGCTATACGTTACATATTAATGACGAATAAAGAACTCAACCTTTGACATTTTTGTTTTGTATTATCGGATGAGTTAATCCCTGCTAGGGTACCAGACCAAAAGAAATGAAGTAAAATGGATAAAAGAATAAAACTGCACCATTGCAACTAGGAAGTATGTCCTCGGTAAAACGATAGCATAACTAAATTGCTTACTGCAAGCAAGCTCTAGTGCAATACCCCTTTTCAATTTTGGTTGTTAGTGCCATGCCATTCTAATATTCTATGGAATAGAATTGAGAACTGAGAGAGGATAGGTTTCTCAACACATTTGGATGGTCAATTGTGTCCACTTTCAAATGTTCCTAGTACTATTCAGGGAAATTCAAGTGAAAAATAGAAAAGATTACAAGTTCTTCAAACATTCACATGCGACATATATTGCTTCAATTGATCTTGAACTTTTCGGTTCCAGCCTTAATATATTCATTTTGTTACTCATTGGCATTGCATGCTAAATGAACTCATATTATTTGCTAGAAACCTTAAAATAACATAATTGAGAATTGAACATGAATGCTCTTTGTATGCATCTTTACATGCCACAGTAGGTGGAAGTCGAAAACTAACTTTTGCCTTGAAGAGTTTGGTCTTCTTTTCTAGCTCTGCTGGTTTTGGTTTCTCTTTATTTGAACTCAATGTTATTGCTATATATTTATAGGGAAGGAAACTGTTCATCAACTATTCGGAACTAGAGTAGCAGTGCTGGCCGGAGACTTCATGTTTGCACAGTCGTCGTGGTATTTAGCCAACCTTGAAAATATTGAAGTCATTAAACTTATCAGTCAGGTGAATTCCTTCACCATACCCTTATAAGATATCTCCGTCTTTTACTTGTATACTTAGATCCATTTGCGAGTTGAGTTTTAGACGGGAAGGAAGGGAAGGCTTCAGAGGCATGAAATATACTTGTGAGACGACTCTGAAGCCTTCTCTTTCCCTTCCTTCATCTCCAAAACCCAATTGGCAAATAGACTCCTAAAGTCATTATTCCATCACCGATTGCTTTATTTCATTTTCTCTTTTGAAGTTTTTGTTGTTGCCTCTCAAATATTTTCGGGTAATTGCTTTGTTCTTTAACAGGTGATTAAAGACTTTGCGAGTGGTGAAATAAAGCAAGCTTCTAGCTTGTTTGATTGTGATGTTCAACTCGACGAGTATCTAATTAAGAGTTACTATAAGACAGCTTCATTGATTGCTGCCAGTACAAAAGGAGCTGCAATTTTCAGCGGTGCCGACAACATCATCGTTGAGAAAATGTACGAATATGGAAAGAATCTTGGTCTGTCCTTCCAAGTTGTGGATGACATATTAGATTTCACACAATCAGCAGAGCAACTAGGAAAGCCTGCCGCCACCGACCTTTCCAAAGGTAACCTGACTGCACCAGTTATCTTTGCATTGGAGAAAGAACCGAAATTGAGGGATATCATTGAGTCAGAATTTAGTGAGCCCGGTTCCCTCGACGAGGCCATCGAATTGGTCAAGAGCTGTGGGGGCATTGAAAGAGCACAAGAATTGGCAAAAGAGAAAGCCGATCTTGCTATTCGAAATCTCCAATGCCTACCTCAGAGCACGTTTCGTTTAGCTCTCGAGGATATGGTTGCTTACAATCTTCAACGGATTGCATAAGCATGTGCATGCTGTGGACACATTCTTGTGTATTGAGAAAATCAGAAAAAACATTCTTTGGTCTTAATATAAAGGATGATACTGAAAAATCTTGGCATTTTATCTTTTATTATGTTCAAGAATTTTCAGCAATTCCTTTACGGACAAAACTTAGGTAAAGTACCATAGGTGTCAGTGGTACAGGTGACCTATTAGAAGATGACACGTGAATCTTTTTGTATATCTCAAGGTTAAAAAATGTTTGATTGTAAATCTAATAAATGTTCCTTCTTTGAAAGTATACAAAAAGGTCCATGTGTCATTTTCTAATAGGTCACTTGTACCACTAGCACCTATGGTACTTTACCTAAGTTTTGTCATTCCTTTAAATGCTTCCCCCATGAGCTAGTTTTGGGTACTATAGTATAGACATTGAAGAACAAAGCATATACACCTCATAATTTTATGTATATTTGCAGCTACCTGCAAAGTTGAAGTACAAGGAAAATAATATTATTCCATTGATGTATCACAACATTATATTCTTTATCTCATTCTTCTTTTGTTGGGATCATGTTTGCGAGTTATTGTGGTTTTTCGAGGGGAATGAATGAAAAACTTCAGTCGTTTTACAAGTGTATTTCATGCCTTTGAAGAGTTATATTTCTCTTATTTCTCCTCCAAAATCCAACTCCTATATGGACTTTAAGTGAAGAAAAAGGTGATAAATTTTCCTTTGTAAGTTGTAGTTTTCCTAGTGTTTAAAATTCAGAAAACTACTTTATAATTTAAAGGAATCTATGAATACCACATATTCTACAATAAGAATGTGAATAGTACTTATTTGGATGCATAATCTTGAAATCTATGATTATCCCATTAGTCTAAGGCCCTATGTTTCAAACTGTGTATTAGTAATTCTTGCGGCTGAGGATAATGTATTCAGAGTTATATACTCTTATCTTTTGGTACTACTAATAGTATCCCTTCATATTTTTTGAGTAAGGAATTTTTGGGGGTGTGGCTTGTAACATCCTAATTTTTTAGTCCTTAAAATTATAGTATCAGTCATGGAAGTCTCGCTTGAGCGAGAGATTCTCGCCTAGGCGAGAAATGACAATTTTGGGCTGTAGACACAGTGTAATTGATTACATGGTCCTGGTAATCGATTACATGCTGATATCTGATCAGACATGTGTAATTTTTCATGATGTAATCGATTACATGGTCCTGGTAATCGATTACATGCTGATATCTGATCAGACATAATTTTCATGATGTAACCGATTACATGGTACTGGTAATCGATTACATGCTGATATCTGATCAGACATGTGTAATTTTCATGATCTTTCACACTATAATCGATTACACCATTATGGTAATCGATTACACTTAACATGGTCAGATTCTCTGAAAACATAAATAGACGTCCCAAGTGAGGATAAGGGTTATTTTTCGAAAAACAAAGAGGAGAGGAACGGTTTGAGGAGTTGAGCACCCTTAGAGTCGAGAAAGAGGCCGGAGAAGAGGTAAATCGCTTAACTTAGTCTCTCTTAGGGTTGAATGTCTTATTTTGGATAGGGTTTCTTCTCCACGTTTAGGGATAAAACCCCAAAAACCCTCTTTTGACATTGTGGTTCGTTTTGATTTGGAAAACCTTGTAAAACTAGTATAGCATGAGTTGTTTTTCGTAATGGGTGTATGAAGGGTTGTTTTCAAAACCGTAGAGTCATTTCAATATTATGGAAACCTTTCCTTTTGAGGATGAAGTGAATAGATGATGTTGTCTTGTGTTGTATAAGTTTTGGTTGGTATTATTCTTGTCTTGACATGTAAATTGATGTGTTGTGATTGTTGTTGTTGTGGGTTGAAAGACCCTAAGGTTGGAGGAGACGGCGGAGAATGCAACTGAGTTTTATTGCAACCATTAGCGGCTACTCAGGTGAGGGAGCAACATTAAACTTTGTGGTATTAGAATCTTAGCATTGGAAACTCCAACGACAGTCACTAGTTGGATGGTTTCGGTGGATTAACACGATTAAACGGGAAATATCATGAATTTCCTATTTAACTGCGTTAATCTTACGGTTGTGGATAATATGTTGATTATAGATTGTGACCTGCCCTTTGTGGTATGGAATTGTGACCTGCCCTTCGTGGTACGGAATGGTGACCTGCCCTTCGTGGTACGGAATTGTGACCTGCCCTTCGTGGTGTGGAATTGTGACCTGCCCTTCGTGGTATGGAATTGTGACCTGCTCTTCGTGGTATGGAAATGTGACCTGCCCTTCGTGGTATGGAAATGTGATCTGCCCTTCGTGGCATGGAGTTAGACCCGCCTTCGTGGTACGGATTGTGGTTTACTTGTGGTGTGGATTTTGACTGTGGTTCGATTGATGGACATTTGATTTATATTATGTATGGGTGGTATGATCATGGTATATTGGTATATGGACTCTCTTGGATGTATTTGTGCTGTAATGCTGTATAGTTTTTGTGAAGTAATGTTTCAATGTTACTATTCTATTTAAATCCACCATGTTTATATTGCATGTATTTAATGACTGACTCTCTCTATGTTGTTTTGTTTACTCAATCCGTGGTAATCGGATTGTAGGTGGAGCTAAGAGTAAGATATTGCCGAGCCTTATGGTGATTGTGTTGCTTTGGATTTAGTGTGCTTTTGAATTACTCTAGGAGTCTGTAATGATTGATATTGGACCCTTTCATGGGAATTTTCATTGATGTATTTGATGTTCAGTTTAGTAGACTAAAAAGTGTAGAACCTAGTATTGTGGAATCACTGTGTTGTTTTCCTTTTTATGGTTTACCTTACTATTAGAGTATTCTTAATTGAAAGGAAATTTTAAATGGTATGAAATTTTATTATGTTAGAAAAAGAATTGAATTTTTCCGTGTTAGTAACTTAAGGCATTACATGGCTACCCCTTTTAATAAGTGTCGTTCCCAGGAATTAAACTTTTGATCTTTTGGTTATCATTAATCTAGACATCATTAAACTAACACTTTGTTGTTATGTTATTTCATGTCATACAACCCTACTAAGTAAGTAGATTATTTAAATAACTTATATATTAGACAAGTATTTTCACAATCATGTTATATTTTCAGGAATATAAAATATAAACCAATCAAAATTAGAAGTTATTTCTAGGAAATAAAACATCATTTTATGAATGTTGATGCTAACTAAACATATATTATTTAGGGGAGGGATCCACTTACTCCAAAAAACACTTACTCTTCATCTTAGTCATCCAATCTTGAAAAATTCAATGGTTTAGATGTACTCACCAATTCAAACCATTGGATTTCCAAGAATGAATGGTCATGATGTGGAGTAAGTGTTTTTCCACTTACTCTTGGAGTAAGTGGATCCCTCCCCTATTATTTATATGCAGCAATAATTTTATTGCATGATTTTTTGTGTGATAAAGAATGAAAGCAATTTGACATATGTTCAAAACTTTATTCAATATATAATTTGAACCGGATGAATTAGACTTGAGTTGATAATTGACTTTGTTAAATAAATGAGTCAAATATAAGTATACATCTGACTCATTAAATTCATGAGTTACTGCATACTATATATTATATTTGCAATTTTTCTTATATTTATTAGGGCAAGATTTTTTTAGAAAAGCTAGAAGTATATAAGATTTAAATATGAAAGTGCTTATATTTTGCAGTATCTAAACAATCTTTAGAAATGAATATTTATTAATAAGATGAATGAATTTGAGTTGATGAGTTGAACCATATAGTTTATAAAATTTAATCAAGTTGAATTCAAGAATTTAATTTATATATATCACAATTTTCTATTATATTTTCCTTAAATATTTTGTAGTATCAATATAAGAATTTAATTTATATAAATTGAGTATTATTTTCCTTTTATTTAAAAATCAAATAATAATTATATATTAATAAATGATGGATGATATGATAACAATGTAAAAAATCTCTTACAATATCGATACATATATTTATATTGTCTACTATCAATTATAAAAGAGTAATGTTATATCTTCCTACTAAATCTTCTTACTAATATCCTTACCCACAAAAAAGTTACATATATCACTAAATAAAGTATCATTTTATGACATATGTTAATTCTTTATGGGTATGAAGATTAGTAGGAAGATATCATTTTCCATTATCAAATATAAAAGCTTATTTTGTCTTAGAGAAAGTCCATTAAAATGTTAAGAAATCTAAGTGGGATAGATAGTGTTGTTATACTAACCTTACACACTTCCAAAGAAACACAGAAATACAAAAACAAAGAGATGAAGTTTGTGAATTACATATCACAATGGAGAAATGCAGCAAAGGAAGCATTGGATCACACTGCAATTACTCTTAAATTCCTCTGTTGGCTTCACGTTACTAACAACTATCTCTGTTCCCCAACTCATGTATTTTCATTCATTCATTCATTCTTAATCATTCACTAAGTTTCAATCTTTTTTCCATTTTTCGATACCCATTTCACTCAATTGCAATAATCCTGTGTTCTCAGGTCTATGGGCCTAGTATGCTCCCAACCCTAAATCTCGCCGGGGATGTAATTCTCGCCGAGCACTTGTCGCCGCGCATCGGGAAGGTTGGCCACGGAGATTTAGTTGTGGTTCGATCTCCTTTCAACCCTAATCGGAACTTGACGAAGCGAATTGTGGGGATGGAAGGGGATACTGTTACTTTCTTTGATCCTTTGCGTGGTGATGCTACTCAAACTGTAGTGGTGTGTGAGCTTAATGGTTTGTTCTTCTTTTAATCTTATTGTAACTAATGTATGTTTTTGTGTGACAGTTTTGATTTTAATGAAATTTTTGCAGTACATGAATGTAAATACTTGATAGCTTAGTATTTTAGTATTTTTGTTGTTGTTTTTTGCATGAATGAAAATACTTGATAGCTTTGTAATTTGGTATTTTTTTTGTTGTTTTTTACATGAATGAAAATACTTGATAGCTTTGTAATTTAGTATTTTTGTTGTTGTTTTTTTTTTTGCATGAATTTAGATGGGTTGAAGGTGTATGATGGTGAAAATGTAGTCACTTGGTTGTTTTGTCATGTTGGAACATAGCGAGGAGGAGAAGCATGTGTAAGAAATTTAGAATTCCTTAGTTTGGAAGGATAAAAGAATAGGGTTATTTTCGTTTAGTAGATATTAGAATGTTGCGATGATAAGATAGGATTACCAATGAATGAATTAGAGGTAAAGTTGAATTAACACCTATTCTAGAAAAGATGGTAGATTCTCGCATAGGTGGCTTGGAAGAAGACTTGTAGTAGCCCCGAGTAAGGAGATTAGAATAGATAGAAGGTAACCTAATCATTAGAGGTAGAGGAAGAATAAGAAAAAGTATAACCAAACATTAAGAACGACTCATATGTAGTGGAGATAGTAGCAACATTGATAACAATTATGGATTGATGGTGACAACAATAATGATAATTTTGCTGGATATAATGATTACAAAAACAACGTTGATAATAGTAGTGATTATGATAGAGCACAAGTTGTCTATGTCACTTTTCTATGCCACTTCTATGTGCCACAAATTACAAACTCACATTTATGTTTTGT